TGTAGCCACTCTCGATGGCTGCTTGGGGGGGGGGGGGCGTGGGCAACACAGTGTCGCCATATTCAGATTCAGGTTAGACCTCGCCGTTGCTGAGGGGCTGCGATCTGCGATGCTGCCGCCACTTTGGAGGGCTGGGGGGGAGGGGGGGCAGCACAGTGTCGCCATGCCCAGATTCAGATTGGACCTCGCCATCCCTGGGGGGAGGCTGCAGCCTGCGAAACCGTGGCCACTTTGGAGGGCTGCTGGGGGGGTGTTGGGCAGCACAGCGTCGCCATATTCAGATTCAGGGTCCAGGTTCGACTTCGCCATCTTTGAAGGGCTGAGATCTGCGATGCTGTCGCCACTTTGGAGGGCTGCTGGGGGGGCAGCACAGTGTCGCCATATCCAGAGTCAGATTGGACCTCGCCATCCCGGGGGGGGTGCAGCCTGCGAAACTGTAGCAACTTTCGAGGGCTGCTTGGGGGGGTGTTGGGCAGCACAGTGTCGCCATATTCAGATTTAGGTTAGACCTCGCAATCCCTGAGGGTCTGCGATCCGCGACACTGCCGCCACTTTGGGGGGCTGTTTGGGGGGCAGCACAGTGTCGCCATACCCATATTCAGATTGGACCTCGCCATCCCTGGGGGGGGGGGGCTGCAGCCTGCGAAGCTGTAGCCTCGTTCCAGGGCTGCGGGAGGGGGCGGGGGATGTTGGGGAGCGCATTGCCGCCATATTCAGGTTCAGGTTCGACCTCGCCATCCTGAGGGGCTGAGATCTGCGACACTGTCGCCACTTTGGAGGGCTGCTGGGTGGGTGGGTGGGTGGGTGGGGTGGGGTGGGGTGGGGTGGGGTGGGGTGGGGTGGGGGGGGGGGAGCGCAGTGTCGCCATGTGTCGCCATGCCCAGACTCAGATTGGACCTCGCCATCCCTGGGGGGGGGGCTGCAGTCTGCGAAACAGTAGCCTCTTTCGAGGGCTGCTGGTGGTGGTGGGGGGGGGGGTGGGGGGGGGGGCGCCACCGTGTCGCCATATTCAGCTTTAGGTTAGACCTCGTCATCCCTGAGGGGCTGCGATCTGCGAGCTTGTCGCAACTCTCGAGGGCTGCTGGGGGGGGGGCCAGCGCAGTGTCGCCATGCCCATGTTCAGATTGGACCTCGCCATCCCCCTGCGAAGCCGTAGCCACTTTCGAGGGCTGCTGGGGGGGGGGGGAGGTCGGGTGCAGCACAGTGTCGCCATATTCAGCTTCAGGTTAGACCTCGCCATTCCTGACGGGCTGCGATCTGCGAACCTGTCGCCACTTTGGGGGGCTGCTTGGGGGGGGGGGCAGCGCAGTGTCGCCATGCCCATGTTCATGTTGGACCTCGCCATTTTAGCTGTAGCCACTTTCGAGGGCTGCTGGGGGAGGGTGTTGGGCAGCACAGTGTCGCCATATTGGAAAGAACTGGCGGAAAACCGGGGGGGGGCACTACCGTCTCCCCCCCCCCCCTCCGGAAAACCGGGGGGGGGGGTCACTACCGGTTCGAACCCCTCCCCCCCCCCCCCCAGCTCATCATGAAAAGGGGGGGGGGTCACTACCGGTTCGAACCCCCCCCCCCCTCGAAAACCGAGTGGGGGTGCGGACAGTGGTGGGGACGGTGTTGGTGGGGACAGTGGTGAGGGGACAGCGGGACAGTGGTGGGGACAGTGGGGGGACAGTGGGACAGTGGTGGGGACGGTAGTGGTGGGGACAGTGGTGGGGACAATGGTGGGAACAGGGGGGACAGTGGACAGTGGTGGGAACGGTGGTGGTGGGGACAGTGGTGTGGGGACAGTGGGAATGAGGTGGAAACACTGGGACAGTGGAGGGTACAATGGTGGTGGGGACACTGGTAAAGGCGGTGGCGAGGACGGCGGTGGGACAATGGGACAGAGGTACAGTGGGGACAGTGGTGGGGACAGTGGGGACAGTGGTGGAAACAGTGGGACAGCTCAGTGGGACAGCGGAGGAGTCAGTGGGACAGTGGGGACAATGGGGATAGGCAGTGGTTGGGTCCGTGGAGACAGTGGGGAGAGTGGAACCGTGGTGGGAACAGTTGTGGGAACAGTGGGGACAGTGCGACAGTGGTGGGGGCATTGGTGGGGACAATAGGGACGGTGGTGGAACCAGTGGGGACAGTGGTGGTGAGGACAGTGGTGCTGGGAACAACAGTGGGGGATGTGATGCGAGCGGTGGTAGGGACCGGGAGTCGTTTGCTGGCGGTGCGTGGGGGGGGGTCGAACCGGTAGTGACCCCCCTCCGGTTTTCGAGGGGGGGGGGGGTTCCAACCGGTAGTGACCCCCCCCGGTTTTCCGGATCTGGAGGGGGGGGGGGGGAGGGGTTCGAACCGGTAGTGACCCCCCCCCCCGGTTTTCGAGGGGGAGGGGGGGGGGGGGTAGGGGAGGGGGGGGTTTTGGCCGGGGGAGGAGGGGGGGGGGGGGGGGGGGGGGGGGGGGGGGGGGGGGTTCCGGCAGGGGCGGGGGGGGATTTTCGGGGGGGGGGGGGGAGACCCCCGGGTTCCGGAGGAAAAGGTTGGCAATTTTCCACAGTAAAGCGGCGGTGGATCACGCTCTCTCCCATATTCAGATTCAGGTTAGACTTCGCCATCCCTGGGGGGTTGCGATCTGCGAGGCTGTCGCCGCTTTGGAGGGCTGCGGGGGGGGTGGGGGGGTGGGCAGCACAGTGTCGCCATACCCAGATTCAGATTGGACCTCGCCATCCCTGGGGGGGGGGCTGAAGCTGCGAAACTGTCGCCACTTTGGAGGGCTGCTGGGGGGGGTTGGACAGCACGGTGTCGCTATACTCGGATTCCCTGAGGGGATGCGATCTGCGAACCTGCCTGTCGCCACTTTGGAGGGCGGCTGGGGGGCAGCGCAGTGTCGCCATACCCAGATTCAGATTGGACCTCGCCATCCATGGGGGGGGGGGGGGGGCTGCAGTCTGCCACTTTCGATGGCTGCTGGGTGGGTGGTGGGTGTTGGACAGCACGGTGTCGCTATATCCAGATTCAGGTTGGGCCTCGCCATTCTTGGGGGGGGGGGGGGGGCGGCGATCTGCGATGCTGTCGCCACTTTGGGGGGCTGCTGGGGGGGCAGCACAGTGTCGCCATACCCATATTCAGATTGGACCTCGCCATCCCTGGGGGGAGGTCTGCAGTCTGCGACACTGTAGCCACTTTCGAGGGCTGCTGCGGGGGGCAGCACATTTTCGCTATGCTCACAGATTCAGGCTGGACCTCGCCATCCCTTGGGGGGATGGGGGGCTGCAGCCTGCGAAACTGTAGCCACTTTCGAGGGCTGCTGGGGGGGGGTTGCATGGTGTGGCCATGCCCGAACTCCAGATTCGACCTCGCCATCCCTTGGGGGGTGGGGGGGGGTGGGGGGGGGTCTGGGGTCTGCACCAGTGCCGCCACGTTCGAGAACAGCTGGGGGGTGCAGCACAGTGGGGCCCTACCCAAATTCAGACTAGCCCTCGTCATTCCTGTGTGGCTGCGATCTGCGAAACTGTCGCCAGTTTCGAGGGCTGCTGGGTCGGTTGTTGGGGGGCAGCGTCGCGGGGGTCTTACGTATATTCAGGGTCGACCTCGCCATCCCTGGAGGGCTGCGGTCTGCGAAACTGTAGCCACTTTCGAGGGCTGCTGTTGCGGGGCCCATCATCGGGGGGTGTCTTGCGCAGACTAAGATTCGACCTCGCCATCCTTGGGGGGGCTGCCAGCTGCGAAGCGGTCGCAGGTTTCGAGGGCTGCTGGGGGAGGGGCAGCACATTCAGATTGGACCTCGCCATCCCTGGGGGGGCTGCGATCTGCGAAACTGTCGCCACTTTCGAGGCTGTCGGCTGGGGGGGAGGCCCTACCCAAATTCAGACTAGACCTCGCCATCCCTAGGGGGCTGCGATCAGCGAAACTGTCGCTACTTTTGAGGGCTGCTGGCTGGACCAGCTTAGCGCGGCACTGCGCAGATCAGAGCGGAACCTCGCCATTTCTGGGGGGCTGTGAAGTACGAAACTGTCGCCGCTTTCGAGGGCTGCTGGGGGCTCCAGCAGGGTGACGTCTTACGCAGATTCAGGGTTGACCACGCCATCCCGGGGGGGGGCTGCGATCTGCCAAGCTGTCGCCTTTTTGGATGGCTGCTGGGGGGCCCATCAAGTGTTGCGGGGCGCCTTACGCAGACCCAAACTGGACCTCGCCATCCCCGAATCTCTGGGGGGGGCTGCGATTTGCGAAGCTGTCGCGACTTGCGAAGGCCGATTCCTGGCACACCTCGAAGCGTCAACTCTCTCCTTCCTCTGGCCGGCTTTTGTCGTTTCTCTCGTGCTGCTACCGTGTCGTGCTGCCTCCCCTGCCTACATATCAAAAGCTCCCTGGGTGCCTCCTCTTCTCAGTCCTCGACCCTCTTTCCTCTCGGCTCAGGGAGTTCATGAACCACCTCCATCAAGCCCTCGTCCATTGGTCGGTATCCTGCGAGTCGCGCGCCCCGCGAGCCTCCCAGAAGCCACTTCCAGAAGAATTGTTCCCCTGCCACGTTATCACCCCCTATAAAGTCTACCCAGCTAGTCTGGCCATGCTGTGCGCAAGGGTTGGGTACATCGCCTGGGTAATTTCAACACGGGTTCCAAGGACATTCCGACCCTGTCCGTGGGACCTGTTTTTCGACGGTCGCGGGGCCTGGTCAATATTCCCAGAGGCCGACACCGGTGAAACGCCTCGCGTCTTTGGTGGTGTTTTTTTCCACGACGCGAGCATGTCTGGGTACCGCCACCCTTGCCTGGTCTTCGCCTTTTTTGGGCCTCCTGGGGGAACCTCGTCTCCACCGCTGGATTCGCGTCGCGATTCTGGTCAGGGCGCACCCCAGGAGGTCAGGGGAGTCGGCGGTGTTGGTACCTTTTACTTTCACCAAGTGGCCCCAAAACTACCACCCGCGGGTCCAGAAGGTGCACGAGAGGTGTGCCTTCACCCCACGTGTATTGTACCCCCCCCCCCCACACGCACCGTTGGCGAACACCCGAGAGGACAAGAAGACGCCTCCCATCCCGTTCGATTCGCTCAAGGTCGGCCAGGAGTTCCAGGGGACCGTGCGCCGCGTTGGGAAGGATTACTCCTTCGTGGACATCGGGGCCACGGTCGTCGGGCTGCTGCACAAATCCGCCATCTCCACGGACAGCATCGAGGACATCTCTTCGGTGCTCCAGGATTGGCGGCGCGCCCTGGGGGCGTGAGGGAGGGCAGGCCTTGTCAGAGGGCGGCGGGGCTTCTCGGAAGCCCTCGCGCATTCTGACAGGCAGTCCTGTGCCTTTGGAGAGGGCTCGGAGAGCTTCTCGGCCTTCTGAGCCCTCTGAGAAGCTCCGCCCCCTCCGCCTTCCCTCCGGGGCGCGCCGCCGAGAGGAAGGCCAGGAGGTCAAGGTCTGGATCAGCGGCCTGAACCGCGAGGGGAAGCTCCATCTGACCATGGTCGAGGGCCAGCTGGACAGCGCGGGGGGCGGGCCGCCCGCCCCCCGCGCTCGACGCGGCGCCCGCCGCGGGCGCCGCGTCGAGCGCGACGGACGTATGTGCGTATGTCCGTTTGTATGTATGTATGTATATTTGCATGCATGCATGCATGCACGTATGCATGTGTGTGTGTGTGTGTTTGTGTATATGCATGTACGTACGTATATACGTACGTACGTACGTACTTATGTATGTATGCATGTATGTATGTATGCATTTGTGCATGTGTGTATGCATGCATGCATGCATGCAAGCATGCACGTATGTATGCATGTTTGTATGTATGTATGTATGTATGTAGGTAGGTAGGTAGGTAGGTAGGTATGCATGCATGCATGCATGTCTGTCTGTCTGCCTGCCTGCCTGTCTGTCTGTCTGTCTGTATGTATGCATGCATGCATGCATGTATGTATGTATGTATGTATGCATGTATATATACATCTAACGGCGCACCAGGGCCCGGCCCTCCCGGGCCGCTACCTCTACTACACGTGTGTGTGTGTGTGTGTGTGGGTGGCCCCAGAGGCCCACAAAGCGCCACTAGAAAGCGCCAAGAGAGCCCGAAGAAGCGCCAAGAGGGACCCGCGACGCCCACAGGCCGCTCCAGGACGCACAGGCCGCTCCGAGACGCACAAGATGCAAGATGGCCCCCAAGACACCCCAAGAGGCCTCTCAGACGCCTCCTGTGACGCTCCCAGAGGCCCCCCAGGAGGGCCCCAAGAGGCACAATTCGCTCGATTCCTTCAGGAAACGTGTATTTGTTGCATATATATATATATATATTATATATATATATATATCTTTATATATATATATATAATATATATATAAATAAAAATATGTGTGTATGTATGTATCCCTGGGGGCGAGGCCGGGGGCCCCAGGACAGGTGCCTCCACCCCCCATGGCGGGACCGGGGCTCATTTTCCTTTTGTTTTTACAGGGTTTCCGCGTCCTGGGCCTCGGAGGCCGCCGCCTCCGACCCATCATGGGCTAGGAGGGCCTCCAGAGGCTCCCAAGACGGCCCAAGCGGGCCCCGAGTCGCCGAAAGACCGCTCCAGGACGTCCAAGATAGGCCCAAGATGGCCCGAGAGGCCTCCCAAGGCACTCCACGACGCTTCAAGACGCCTCTCCAGAGCGCTTCCAGAGGCCGAAATCGTGAATTTTACGAATGTTTTCGACCGATTTTGGCCTTCCAGCCTTTTCAGCTGTCCGACGTTCCAAGGTGGCTCAATAGGCCCCCAAGAGCGCCCCAAGACGGCCCAAAAGGGCCCCAAGACGGCCCCAGAGTCGCCCAAGACAGCCCAACAGAGCCCCAAGACGGCCCCAAGATACGCCCAAGAGAGGGACCACGACTCCCAAATTCGACCCTCCCGCTTGAAGAGTGCCCCAGGAGGCCCCAAGGAGCCCCCAAGAGGCCCCAGGAGGCCCCCAAGAGGCACTGCAGGAGGCCCAAACGAGGCCTAAAGAGGCCACAAAACAGCCCCGAGGAGGCCCCACAACGGTCCCAAAACGGCTACCGAGAAGCTGCGAAACTGCCTTCACGACGTCCCCGACAGGCCAACCACGAGATCCAAGGCAACACCCATGAGGCCTCTGACCCACCACCCAGGGCACGGTGGCGGGAGCAGTGACAGCCTTTGCTCACAGCATGTTCCGGCGGGAGCCTTCCGGAACACGCTGCAGGGTGAGGAGGAAGATCAGGAGGAGAGAGAGCTGGAGTGGGAGGAGGAGGAGGGGGACGAGGAGGAGGAAGAGGCCTCCCAGACAGCTCCAAGATAGCCGAAGAGGCTTCCAAGAGGGCCCTGGGCGGCCCACGAGGGCCCCAAGGCGGTGCCTGAGGCGCCCAAGACGGCCCGAGAGGGCCCCAAGACGGCCCCAAGAGAGGCCCAAGAAGGGAAACACGAACCGAGAATCCGAGCTTTCTACCCCGAGAGGGTCTCGGGAAGTCCCAAGAGGCCCCCAATCGGATCCAAGAGGCCCCCAAGAAGCTCCCAAGAGGGCCGACGAGATTCCAAGAGATCTCCCAAGGTGGCCCCAAGAGGCACAACACATTGTTTTACGATTGGGCTTTGACGTTTTTTTTCTGCCTTTTGGCATCCCGATGCTCCAAGACGGCCCAAGAGGCTTCCAATACCGCTCCCATATGGAGGAAGATGCTTCCAAGAGGGCCCCAAGACGGCCCGCGAGGGACCCAAGACAGTGCTTGAGGCGCCCAAGACGGCCCGAGAGGGCCCCAAGATCCCCAAGAGAGGCCCAAGAAGGGGAACGCGACCCAACAGCAGAGCGGTCCCCCCACAAGGCCCACAGGAGGCCGCAAGAGGCCCCCAAGTGGTCCGACGAGGACCCCAAAAGCTTCCCCGAGGGCCTAAAAGGCCACCAGGAGACGTCCAAGAGGCTTTCAAATAGCCCAAGATTACCCTCGATGCGTCAAAACTGCTTCCAGGAGGCCCCCGGGAGGCTTCCGGATTGCCTCAATCTGGCCGCAGGTGGCCTCAAGTCGGGCCTCCACGCAGCCAAGACGGCCAATGACGGCTTCAGATTGCAGAACCGATGCCCCCAAGGGACCCTCAGACGCCCCCCCAAGAAGCACCCAAGAGGTGCCTCCAACAGCCAGTTGACGAAGCATGCGGAACACCCCAGAAGCTCCTCAGATGCCGTCGCGCGCCTGTGCTTGATAGCGTTGTCCAAGATCGTCCAGCGCCCCCCCGGCCTGGGCTAGAACCTGAGCGCGCGCGAAGCGCGCGCGATGGTTCTAACCCAGGGGCCCGAAAACAGCTGCCCGACCCTCCATGGGAGTACCGGGGCTCATTTTCGCTGTGTTTTCACGGGGTTTCGGCGTCCCGGGCCTCGGAGGCCGCCGCGATGATCCCGGACATTTTCCAGATCCTCGGCGCGGGCTCCAAGACCATTCCGCAGAGGGCTCCAACAGGCTCCAGGGCAGCCCAAGAGGGCTCCAAGACGGCTCCAGGAACGACTGCAGGGTCTCATTTTTCTTTTGTTTTCTGCAAGACGGCTCCAGGAAGACTGCATGTCTTCTGAGGATGGCTTCCGCCTCTTGCCCCGAGCATCCCAAACTGCCTGAACGGTTCCCACTCGCCTTCCTCAAACCCAGCGCTTGCCCAAACGCGTTCCGGACGGTCTTCGCCGGAACGCGCTGGAATGATCACGCGCTGCGGTTTCCCATGCCAACGTCCTCGGACGTGGGCGCCCTGCCACGAGCGCGTTCCGGGAAGATGCTCCTGGAACGCGCTGAAAAGATATGGCCACATCTCGGGGACGCTCCCGGCACCGCTGCCCCAGCCTTTCTGGGCAGCCTCCACAGCGCTCCAGGAGGGCCCAAGACGCCCCCTAGGAGCCCCCAGAATGCGAAAGGATGGCCCAAGACGCTCCCGAGCAGCCCAAGTCAGCCTTCCGACGGCTCTCGAGGCTCCCAGGTGGCCTCCAAGAGACCCCAAGAAGTCTGATAGGTATCGCGGCACCACGGCCCGAAGAGGCCAAAGTCGTATATGTCCAATGGTCTTTTCAATGTTTTTGGCTTCTCGCGTTTTCGAGCTCCCATCGGTCCAAGAGCGCCGAAAAGCCTCCATGGGGGTACTGGGGCTCATTTTCCTTGTGTTTTTAAAAGGGTTTCCGCGTCCTGGGCCTCGGAGGCCGCCGCCTCCGACCCCCCATGGGAGGAGGGGCGGCCAGGGAGGTCCAAAATAGTCCAGAAGGGCCTCCAGAGGCTCCCGAGACGGCCCAAGCGGGCCCCGAGTCGCCGAAAGACCGCTCCAGGACGCCCAAGATAGGCCCAAGATGGCCCGAGAGGCCCCCCAAGGCACTCCACGACGCTTCAAGACGCTTCTCCAGAGCGCTTCCAGAGGCCGAAATCGTCAAGTTTACGAAGGTTTTCGACCGATTTTGGCCTTCCAGCCTTTTCGGCTGTCCGACGTTCCACGACGGCTCAATAGGCCCCCAAGAGCGCCCCAAGACGGCCCAAGAGGGGCCCAAGACGGCCCCAGAGTCACCAAAGACAGCCCAACAGAGCCCCAAGACGGCCCCAAGATGCGCCCAAGAGGGGGACCACGACTCCCAAATTCGACCCTCCCGCTTGAAGAGTACCCCAGGAGGCCCCAAGGAGCCCCCAAGAGGCCCCAGGAGGCCCCCAAGAGGCACCCAGGAGGCCCAAACGAGGCCTAAAGAGGCCACACAACAGCCCGAGGAGGCCCCACAACGGTCCCAGAACGGCTACCGAGAAGCTGCGAAACTGCCTTCACGACGTCCCCGACGGGCCAACCACGAGATCCAAGGCAACACCCATGAGGCCTCTGACCCACCACCCAGGGCACGGTGGCGGGAGCAGTGACAGCACTTGTGCACAGCATGTTCCGGCGGGAGCCTTCCGGAACACGCTGCAGGAGGAGGAAGATCAGGAGGAGAGAGAGCTGTAGTGGCAGGAGGAGGATGGGGACGAGGAGGAGGAAGAGGCCTCCCAGACAGCTCCAAGATAGCCGAAGAGGCTTCCAAGAGGGCCCTGGGCGGCCCACGAGGGCCCCAAGGCGGTGCCTGATGCGCCCAAGACGGCCCGAGAGGGCCCCAAGACGGCCCCAAGAGAGGCCCAAGAAGGGAAACATGAACCGAGAATCCGAGCTTTCTACCCCGAGAGGTTCTCGGGAAGTCCCAGGAGGCCCACAATCGGATCCAAGAGGCCCCCAAGAAGCTCCCAAGAGGGCCGACGAGGCTCCAAGAGATCTCCCAAGGTGGCCCCAAGAGGCACAACTCATTGTTTCACGATTGGGCTTTGACGTTTTTTTTTTTTTTTTTTTTTTTTTTTTTTGTTTTTTTTTTTTTTTTTTCCCAACCATCCTGTGGTGTTGGGTCCTCGTTTTGAAGAGACGGTGCCCCGCTCTCCTCCTCCTCCTCCCCCTCCTCCTCCCTCCTCCCCCTCTTCCCTGCGTTTCACCCACCCAGGGCAGCGTTTCGTAGCCCCATAGGGAG